CCAAACCCCAAACCCCAAACCCTAAACCCTAAACCCTAAAGGCTCCTGAGAGCAAGGTAGGCCAGCTCGCCGGGCGCGCCGCGCTCGCAGCCCGAGGTGGCGGGCTTTGCCGCTTGGGGGTGTTTTGGGGCTTTGGGGTTTTGGGGTTTTGGGGTTTTGGGGTTGTGGGGGTTTTGGGGTTTTGGGGTTTTGGGGTTTTGGGGTTTGTGGGGTTGTGGGGTTTTGGGGTTGTGGGGTTTTGGGGTTTTGGGGTTGTGGGGTTTTGGGGTTTGTGGGGTTTTGGGGTTGTGGGGTTGTGGAGTTTTGGGGTTGTGGGGTTGTGGGGTTGTGGGGTTTTGGGTGGGGGTTGTGGGGGTTGTGGGGTTATGGGGTTTTGGGGTTTGGGGTTTGGGTTTGGGGTTTGGGGTTTTGGGGTTTTGGGGTTTTGGGGTTTGGGGTTTGGGGTTGGGGTTTTGGGGTTGTGGGGTTTTGGGGGGTTGGGGTTTTGGGGGTTTGGGTTGTGGGGTTTTGGGGTTGTGTGGGTTTTGGGTTGTGGGGTTGTGGGGTTTTGGGGTTTGGGTTGTGGGGTTTTGGGGGTTTTGGGGTTTTGGGGTTGTGGGGTTTTGGGGTTTTGGGGTCGTGGGGTCGTGGGGTTTTGGGGTTTTGTTGGGGTTTTGTTGGGATTTTGTTGGGGTTTTGGGGTTTTTGGGGTTTTGGGGTTTTTGGGGCTTTGGGGTTTTGGGGTTATGGGGTTGCAGGGTTTAGGGTTTAAGGTGTAGGGTTTTAGTGCGTGGGGTTTGAGGGATTCAGGGTGTAAGGTTTCAGTGTTTAGGGTCCCAAAAAGCTTAGGGTTTAGGGTTAGGGGACGTGAGGGCCGTGAGGGCCTGTGGCGAGCCAGCAAAAAAAAAACCTAAACTCCGTGCATTCGGGTTAGGGTTTAGGGTACAGGAAGCTTGAGATTGCTGCTTCAGACCTAAACGGCTTAGGGCTTTCGGACTTTGAAGCTTTCGGGGCTTTAGGGAAGCGCGGGGTTGATCTGACATTGGGAGCCGTCTTGTTCCAAGGGTTTAGGGTTTTAGGGGTTTGGGGTTGAGGGCTGCCCTTTCATGATACAGAGCCGCAACCCCCCTCTCCCCCCCCAAACCTCCCCTAACCCCTAAAAGCCCTAAACCCCCCCCCACACATGCGGCTCGCAGGGTGTCGGTCGAAGGTGACCTCAGCTGGCGCCGCCCTCCCGAAGGTGGAGGGGGTTCTCCAAGAGGTCTCTACCCTACACCCTAAACCCTAAACCCTAAACCCTAAACCCTAAACCCTAAACCCTAAACCCTAAACCCTAAACCCTAAACCCTAAACCCTAAACCCTAAACCCTAAACCCTATAAATTTTAGATCTAGGGCTTAGGGACCCTGATCGGTCTAGGGGTCCCCCTCTCACCGAAACCCTACCCCATCCCTAAGCCCGGAACCGAGAACCCTAAAAGACTGACAAGACCTCCCAGAAAGCCTGAATACCGAACCCCCCCCCCCCTGAACAAGAGAAAGAGAAACAGCCCGAATAGCCCGAACATGCATAGCGTTCCAAAACAACCCCTAACACCTAACACCTAGATTACACCTAGCACCTAACACCTAACGCCTAACACCTAGCACCTAACACTTAACACCTAACACCTAACACCTAACACCCAACACCTAACACCTAACACCTACCACCTAGCACCTAACACCTAACACCTAACACCTAAAACCTAAACCCGAAACCCTAAACCCGAAACCCTAAACCCTAATTAAACCCTAAACCATCATAGAGAGCGGTTTCCATCGACCGGCAGCTCCCTTTGTAGGCGCCTGGGCCCGGGCTCCGGGCGACACCCGCCTGCGCAGTTCCGCCGGGCGCTCGGGGTTTTGGGGTTGAGGGTTTATAGGGCTTAGGTTTAGGGGTTTAGGGGTTTAGGGGTTTAGGGGTTTAGGGTTTAGGGTTTAGGGTTTAGGGTTTAGGGTTTAGGGTTTAGGGTTTGGGGGTTTAGGGCTCAGGGGTTTGGGGGCTTTAGGAGTTTAGGGAGGCAGGGCTCCAGGCGCTTTAGGGTCTTGCGGGTTTGTGGGTTTAGGGCTTGCAGAGTTTGAGGGATGTAAGGATGGACATAGCCTTTTTGCAATTCTGGGTTTCCCGGGGCTCCTGGGCAGTGGGGGTGTTCTTTGAGAATCTCGGCTGTTTAGCTTTCCAGGGCATTACGTTTCGAGGGCTCGGACGAAACTTCCGTCCAAGGTTTGTTGCTGTTTCGGTGCAATCTGTTCATGTGTTTGGGAACTGAGATGGAGGCTCTTGAGGTTCGAATTGAATTTGTTTTCTCTCGACACATGATTCCTGCTTCAGTGAGGGCAGATCCATCTTCGTGAGCATCCATTCGGGCCAGTCCAGGGCGACCTACTGGGATGATCCGGGCAAGCCCGTGTCGAAGCACGATCGGAAATACCACCTAAACCCTAAACCCTAAACCCTAAACCCAAAACCCTAAACCCTAAACCCTAAACCCTAAACCCCAAAACGAAAGTTTACAGTCGATGAAGGGGATCAAGTGGTGGACTAAGAAACAGCCACGTGATGATGAACGAGTGTGGGCAGTCCGTAGCAGCACCTTTGAAAGCGAGTTTAGGGTTTAGGGTTTAGGGTTTAGGGTTTAGGGTTAGGGTTTAGGGTTTAGGGTTTAGGGTTTAGGGTTTAGGGTTTAGGGTTTAGGGTTTAGGGTTTAGGGCTTAGGGTTTAGGGTTTAGGGTTTAGGGTTTAGGGTTTAGGGTTGGCAATGATGCCTTAAGAAGAAAGACCTGTACCCCAAAATCACCCTTACACCTTAAACCCAAAACCCTAATGCTTTAGGATGCTCCTTCACATTCCTGCGGCCCTTAGACTCCAATGGCTCCAGAGCACCACACCAGGGCTTTAGGGTTTAGAGTTTGGGGTTTCGGGTACAGGGTTTTGGATGTTTAGGGTTTAGGGTTTAGGGTTTAGGGCTAGGGTTTAGGGTTTAGGGCTCAGGGTTTAGGATGTTTTGGGATGCTTTGGAAATCTCTAGGCTGTTCCTTGGTGTGCTTCCGTGAGGGGAGGTCCCTAAGCCGAAGCGCCCAAAATCCCCGACAGGAAGACGTCCATGAATGCTGAACTTGAGGATTTAGGGTTTGGGGTTTGGGTTTTGGGGTTTAGGTTTTGGGTTTTGGGTTTTGGGTTTTGGGTTTTGGGTTTTGGGTTTTGGGTTTAGGGTTTGGGCTTTAGGGTTTAGGGTTTAGGGAGCTCCTGACTGAAGGGACACTTCTTCCCAGGCTGCTAGCATTGACAGCTGGGCGCCTGAGCCGACGGAGGAAGGTCCAGGCAGGCTGCTCAGGGGCATTCCTTGGAGGTTTAGGGTTTAGGATTTAGGGGGCTCGGAAGGGTTCTCTGCGGTTTACGGTTTAGGCTTTTCAGTCAGGTGACCTTTATACCCCTAAGCCCTAAACCGGGGTACTTGGATTTGGCCTGAACTGCCCAAGCCCTAAACCCAAAAACTTTATCATCCCACTGCAAGTACCCTGCATCTAAAACCCTAAACCAGAAACCCTAAACCCTAAACCCTAATATACACAGGTAAATACTTAAAATATAAATCGTAAATAAAGAACACACACATATATATATATATATATATACACACAGATACATATTTTCCCTAAACCCTAAACCCTTAAACCCTAAACCCTAAACCCTAAACCCTAAACCCATATGTATAAATCTATACATGTACATATATATGTATATACACATATATATATATACACATATATATATATATATATATATTATATGTATAAATCTATACATGTACATACAAAAATGGCACTCCTTGGTCCGGGGGGCCTCAGGTCGACTCTGCGCTTCGCGCCGTGGCCACGGCGGCCCCGCCGGACGCTGAGAGTAGAGCCCGAAACCGCAGACGCTTTTTTAGGGATTTGGGGGTTGTAGGGTTTAGGGTTTAGGGTTTAGGGTTTGGGGTTTAGGGTTTAGGGTTTAGGGTTTGGGGTTGTCGGGTTTTGGGGTTCAGGGATTTAGGGCTTATAGGGGTTTTGGGGATTTGGTGCAGGGATTTGGGGTTTTCGGGATTAGGGTTTTTGGGGTCTTCAGAACAGGATCCTGCGGCGCAACCTTTTTTACGGTCTGCTCTCGCCCCAGACTTATGCCAGAGGGTTCTTAAGGGAGGGGGGTTCATGGGGGTAGGTACCTAGGGAACTTGAGGGAAGCATAGGGAGCCTTAGGGTTAGACCATACTGGAGACCCTTCAAAAGGGGCCCGTCGTCTAGGGTTGAAGGGTTGAAGCGTAGGAGGTTTCAACCCTAAACCCTAAACCATGGTTTAGGGTATTTTGGGCTTCAGGAGTGAGGGTGCTTGGGGTCGGCAAGGGCCCTAATGATACATGGTGGAAAAAGATAGTCCAGATAACACATCATGTGTTGGTGCAAGTGCTAAACCCTAAACCCTAAACCCTAAACCCTAAACCCTAAACCCTAAACCCTAAACCCTAAACCCTAAGCCCTAAACCCTAAACCCTAAACCCTAAACCCTAAACCCTAAACCCTAAACCCTAAACCCTAAACCCTAAACCCTAAGAAACTGAAAGACACGGGACATGAAGTAGACTTAGCAGTACGTTCAGCATTACGTGGATTCGATCGTTCAGGTGCTGGACATATGGGCGGTCATGTGCAAGGCACGTGGCCTAAGCCCTAAGAGGGCTTAGGGTTTGGGGTTTAGGGTTTAGGGTTTAGGGTTTAGGGTTTAGGGTTTAGGGTTTAGACCCCCAGCACACCCATTCAAGTCAAAAACCCCTCAAATTCCGCAGGCCGCACCCCCCAAAACCTGAAAGCCCCAAAATCCCAGGGTGTTTTAGGGCTTTGGGTTGTGGGGCCCCCGACACTGCTCTCCGCAGGATTGTTTCCTCAAATCGTTTTGACGTAGTTAGGGGGGGGCGGAGCCCACGACGGTTGCACACCCGAGCCATGCTGGGAGATCAGCTCATCGGATTTAGCTGCTGCGTGGTGGCTGGCGTAGGACAGCCAGTGAACCCGAAAGCCCCCAAACCCGGAACCCCAAACCCGAAACCCCAAAGCACTACACCCTCAAACCCCCAAGCACCACACAACAAACCCTAAGCCGCCAAGCCGCAAACCCGAAACCCGGAACCACACCCTCAGCTCTCTGCTGATTTGTTTGGAGTTCGGAGATTTCTTTTACCCGTGGTAGCCCGATGGTACCCTTTGCTTTTTTTTTTTTGGCTCGAGGTTCCCTTATAAAGTGACCAACCCCAAAAAGGGGCACCCTTATAATATGGTTTCCCAAGGTGATGGTTCCCAAAGCAGCGCTAACCCCAGGCCTCCAGCAACCGTAAGCACTGTACATGCCAAGCCTAAACCCTAACCCCCCTTAACCTTCAAATCTTTCAACCCAAGCCCAGCCCCAAAGCCTTGAGCCCCAAAACCCCCACACCTTCCACCCTCACAACCTCCAAAACCAAACCCTCAAACCCTAAACCCTAAAACCCTAAACCCTAAAACCCTAAACCCTAAACCACTAAACTCTAACCGCCTCAAACCCTAAACCACTAACCTCTAACCGCCTCAAACCCTAAACCACTAAACTCTAACCGCCTCAAACCCTAAACCCTGAACCTTAAGCCCAAACTCTAACCGCCTCAAACCCTAAAGTCAGCTCCAAAGCCTGGAGCTGTCCCAAAGCTCCCGGAGTCACCAGGCCCTGCGAGTGAAGCCTAAAAATAGGGTTTAGGGTTTAGGGTTTAGGGTTTAGGGTTTAGGGTCTAGGGAGACGGCTTTGCAGATCCGAAGCGCTAAGCCCGAGCGCCCTAAACCCTGAGCCCCTCTAGGGTGTGTAGGAGCCCTGAACCCTTATTTGGTTTAGGGGTTAGGGTTCATGTTTCAGGGTTCAGGGTTTAGGGTAACCCCCAAACCCTAAGCAGGATTTGCTGTGAACTACATCCCCGTGAAGCGAATGGACACCGGCGATGGCGTGCTTCCTGGACCGGTCTAGAAGCATTTCAGAGCCCGATTTGGGTTAGGTGTTTTTCGGGTTCGGGGTCTCGGGGTTTAGGGTTGCCCTCAGCCCTCGACCGAATTAGGGTTCAGGGAAGTCCTAAACCCTAAACCCTAAACCCTAAACCCTAAACCCTAAACCCTAAACCCTGTACCCTAAACCTTAAACCCTAGGGGCTTGGGGTGTTCAGGCCAAGACCAGGCATTGTAAGGTGGGACGTTGCGAGTGCCCGTCATAGCTATGATTCGGTGCCGCAAGCCCTAAACCCTAACCCTAAACCTTTTATCTAAAGCCCTCGCCACCTGGGCCCTGAGAACGAAGTTAACATCCAAAACATACAGCCCAAGCCTGAATCAACCCTTGAACTACCTAGTCCCAAGCCCTAAACCCTCAACCCTCAACCCTAAACCCTAAACCCTAGTCCCAAGCCCTAAACCCCTAAGCCCTCAACCCCAAACCCTTAACCCCAAAGCCCCTAACTAAACCCTTAACGTGGGATCCCCTTGTACTAACAGTCGTTAATGGGGATTCTAGTATCTCCTACTATAATCCCTATTGAGGGCTGTTAGTATAACGAGGAAAATCATAGCCCTTAACCCCTAAACCCCTAAACCCTTAGATCCCTGTACCCCTAAACCCCTAAACCGCCCAAAAAACTTTAAACCCCTAAACCCCTAAACCCCTGAACCCCTAAACCCCAAAAAGAACCCCAAACCCCGAAACCCCGAAACCCCGAAACCCCTAAACCGCTAAACCCCTAAACCCCTAAACCCCTAAACCCCTAAACCCCTAAACCCCTAAACCCCTAACCCCTAAACCCCTAAACCCCTAAACCCCTAAACCCCTAAACCCCTAAACCCCTAAACCCGTAAACCCCTAAACCCCTGAACCCCTGAACCCCTGAACCCCTGAACCCCTAAACCCCTGAACCCCTAAACCCCTAAACCCCTAAACCCCCAAACCCTTAAACCCCTAAACCCCTAAACCCCTAAACCCCTAAACACCCAAACACCCTAAACCCCTAAACTCTCAAAAAACTCCCCAAAAACCTCAAAAAACTTCTAAACCCCTAAGCGCCTACACTCTAAACCCTAAATCCTGAACCCTAAGGCCTAAACCCTAAACCCTAAGCCCTGAACCCCAAACCCCTAAGCCCCTGCACTCTTAACCCTAAATCCTGAACCCTATCTTCGATCCGAGGTTCTTCGCCGCGGCGATGTCTTTGGGAATAGTGATCGTCGGGGTGATCACGGGCTTCATGATGTCGGACACCCAGGCCCTTGCATCTCGAAGGATTTAGAGTTTAGGGTTTAGGGCTTAGGGTTTAGGGATTCTAGGGTTTAGGGTTTAGCGATTCTAGGGTTTAGGGATGAGGGCTCTTCCTGTTGCAAAGACGAAGGGGTAGTTCCCTAAGTTTGGGTCCCTTTTGGGGCCCTTATTGTAAGGGTACCGTGCTAGATGGGGGTTTCCGAAATTCGGGGTACCTGATTGGGGTCCGTATTTGAAGGTAATCCTACTATTTCGGGTTCTTCTTTAGGGTCCCCTATCTTCGTAAACCCCATAGAGGGAACCCTAAACCCTAAACCCTAAACCCTAAACCCTAAACCCTAAACCCTAAACCCTAAACCCTAAACCCTAAACCCTAAACCCTAAACCCTTGGAGAGCTACCCAGAGAGAGTCATCGCAAAGCACGGGGGGGACCGGGGAGGCCTGAGTCTCATCGAGGAAAGGGTTTAGGGGCTAGGTTTTAGGGTTTAGGGTTTAGGGTTTAGGGGTAAAAGTGCCCTAGTTTGTAATATAAGAATATCCGAATAGACGATTGTAAGGATCTAAGAATCTAGGAATATAGGAGCACAAGAACCTAGGAGTCTAAGAATGAAGGAACACAGGAATCTAATCACCGTAGGGTAGGACTACAATTTCAGGTGGGGTCACCAGAGAGCCTGCGCATTGGGATATGCACCCAAGCCCAAGAGCCTGGTTCACAACATCCGCTTGCAAGGGTTTAGGGTTTAGGGTTTGGGGTTTGGGGTTTGGGGTTTGGGGTTTAGGGAAAGCCTTGGGGGAATGCCCCGATGCCAAAGGCACTTCCGAAGTTTGAGCCGCTGGCGGCAGTTGGGGGCTCCATCTGGATGCTCGGGAACCTCCTGCCGCACGCCTTGAATTTGGGGGGAGCCCGAAGCCCTAAACCCTAAACCCTAGACCCTAAGCCCTAAGCCCTAAGCCCTAAGCCCTAAGCCCTAAGCCCTAAACCCTAAACCCTAAACACTAAACCCTGTGCTTGCCGACTTTGGCAGTTCTCACGCGGAGCCAGGTATTTGGTGGTGTTGTGGAACCCAGCCTAAATAGCTGAAGAGCCCTGGAACGCTACACCCCAAAGCCCCCTGAACCCTGATAATCCTGCAGCAAGCAAACCGAAACCTGACCTAGTCCTAAACACATCTCAACCCTAAACCCGGAACCCTGAGCCCTAAACTGAAGACCGTAAACTCTAAACCCTAAACCCTAAACCCTAAACCCTAAACCCTAAACCCTAAACCCTAAACCCTAAACCCTAGACCCTAGACCCTAGACCCTAAACCCTAAACCCTAAACCCGAAACCCTAAACCCTAAACCAGCATCAGTTGGCCCCTTGCTGAGCGTGAGAACCCGACAAGGCGAGCATCATCAGCATCAGTTGGCCCCCTTCCTGGGCATGAGGACCCGACCAGGCGAGCATCATCAGTTGGCCCCCTTGCTGGGCCTAAACCCCCAACCCCTAGACCCCAAAAGCCCTGAACCCTCTCAACCCTCCTCCAAAGCTGAGGTGCCCCTACATCATCCGCCTTGTCGGTCTAGGACATTGGGGCTTTAGGGTTTGGGGTTTAGGGCTTTGTGGAGCCCTCTGGCGATTACGACCTTGGGGCCTTAGAGGCTTTAGGGGTTTTAGAGGTTTGGGGGCTTGGGGTCTAGGGGTTTTAGGGGTTCAGAGTTGTTGTTTGGGTTTTAGGGGTTTTAGGGGCTTTAGGGGCTTTGGGGGCTTTAGGGGCTTTAGGATTGAGGGTTTAGAGGTTTTAGGGGTTCAGAAGTTGTTGTTTGGGGCTTAGAGTTTGGGTTTCGGGTGTAGTCACAGTCTGGGTGTGTGCGAGCTCGGGTCTCAGGGTTTGGGAGTTTGGGTCTTAAATAATAGGGCCAAAGCCCTAGCACCCTAAATGCCCAAACACAAAGGACGGGCGCCGGAGGACTCTCCGCCCGGTGTACGTCTTCCCTTGTGCAGGTGCATGTTCAAACCCTACGCCCTGCACCCTAAACCCGAAAGGCCCCTATTGCATTTCAGGGCGTCCTCAGGGAGGTTCAGGTTTTGAGGTTTAGGGCTCTAACTCTTGGCCATTCTTGGGGCTCCCTTGCGACATTCTTCTTTCCTGTTTCTTAGGGCACTAACAATCGCCGAGGATTCTTAGCACCCCACCCCCTGGAACCCTAAACCCTTCTCAGAGAAGCCCTACAACTCAAGATTCCCACTCCGGAGGTTGAGGGTAAGCCCTAAGCCCTCAGCCCCAAATCGCGTTTCTTGCGACAGGACTCGGGCTTACCGTCTGGGACCTGAGCAACATGAGCCAGGGCAGACTTCAGTACTTAGGGCTCAGGCGTTTTGAGCATTTGGCGGTGTCAGGGTGAGCTTAGGCGAGACCCGCAAGCCCTCCACCCCCCAGCCTTCTGTGGGCCCGAATCCCTAACCCCTCTCAAAACTCTCAGGCCACCCTGAAACCCACAAACCCTAACCCCCCCCCCTCCCCCCCAAAGCAAGCTCCGGAACCCAGGGATCTTTCCAGGAGGCCTGGTGAGGGTTTAGGGTCTAACGGTCTAGGGTTTAGGAGTTTGGGGGGTTCAGGGGGTTTAGGGGTCTAGGGGTTTAGGAGTTTGGGGTTTAGGGTTTAGGGTTTAGGGGTTTCGGATTTCCAGGGTCCCGAGGGTTCAGGGGAGCCCTCCAGCCCCAAACCCCGGTCTCTAGAGGGCGCTTTTTGCATGTCGCTTGGCTGTCTGGGAGCCCTGAACCCAAACCCTAAACCCTAAACCCTAAACCCCCTAAACCCCCTAAACCCCCTCAACCCTGTGCAGCCGAGGATCACCGGCTGGTTTACAGGCTTCTTCGGCCTGCTCCCCGTCCGCATCGTAGGGTCTAGAGCCCCGATGCCCTGGCCTGTTGGGAGGCGAATTTCCCTTTTGCAGGGAGGGTTTAGGGTTTAGGGTTTAGGGTTTAGGGTTTAGGGTTTAGGATTTAGGTTCCCTTCTGAAACCCCATGAGCAAGCACAAAAAAGGGTGTTGAGGGGACTTAGTGAAACTTCTCCTAGTTCCCGCTGTTAAATTCTGGATTAGGGTCTAGGGTTTAGGGACGTCTGATCAGCTTTGGTATATCTTGCTAGCTTGCGAACGCCACTAATGAATTCTTCACGGGGTCACCGAGATCCATGGCACCCGACCACAGAAGCTTTTGTCTCCTCATCCTCGACCCAAATCAAACAATCGCCCGCGTCCCTCCCGCACAGCGTGGGATTGTTTGCGCCTCCCAGCCGGTTGACGGGGGTGGGTGGTGGGGGGGTGGGTGGTGGGGGGGTGGGTGGTGGGGGGGTGGGTGGTGGGGGGGTGGGTGGTGGGTGGGTGGTGGGGGGGTAGGGGTAAGCACGGAGTGGCCGTGCATCCCTCGCGCGCGAACGAGACAAAAATAGGTCAGAACGGACGAAAGAAGACTCCAAGAACATGCGAGAGCTTTGGGCCGCTTTTTTAAAGGCCTTCTGTTTGTTTCTCCACAGCTTTCTCTGGGGCCACTTCTTCTTACCCTGAGCCTTTGCACCGAACCCCTTCTCTTGGTATTCAGGAACTTCAGGTGGTTACCAGAGTTTCCACTCCGATGTTTTGGCCAGGCGCTGCTGTATTTCTGGCTTAGGGGCTGCTTTATTCGGGGTCTTCGGGTGTAGGTTGTTGTTTAGCACGCAGGGGGGTTTTAGGGTTCTAGGGGTGGTGTGTTTTCTTTGCCTTGTGCGTGCCGTTCGGCTTTCTCGCGGGCAAATGTTTTCGGAAGGGTGGCATGAAGTCAAGGACTTTCCTTGAGCTGCTTGACATCCTCAAACAGAGACCTCTTAAGCCCGAGACCCGAAAGGGTGATGGAGTTGCAGTGCAGAGATTAAATCCTGAACCTACCAGAACCCCAACGTCCAAAAATAGCCCCAAAACTCTGAGACGCTACAGCCCTAAAACCCTCAATTGATGAGGTTCGGGGTCCAGCGAGAGTTGGTCCTGCGCCCTCAGATGAACTGCACCTCGGCAGTTTCAGCGGGCACGTCGGGGGGGAGGGGGGAGCTAAACTGGCTAAACCCTGAACCCCAAGCACCCGAGGGCCCTAAACCTCAAACCCTTAGACCTTGAACTGATCCCAAACCCCAAGCCCCCAAACCCTAAACCCCAAACCCTAAATCCCAAGCCCCCAAACCCTGGACCCTAAGACCCCAAGCCCCCAAACCCTAAGCCCCCTAAACCCTAAACCCTAAACCCTAAACCCTAAGCCCTAAACCCTTAACCCTTAACCCTTAACCCTAAACCCTAAACCCTCAACCCTAAACCCTAAACCCGAAACCTTAAACCCTAAATCCCAAACCCTAGCCAACCTCAAGGTTGGAGTGGAAAGGGCAATGGGCTCACAAAGGGACTCAGCCACCTTAACAGTACGGTTTTCGGGGTCTTAGGGTTCAGGGTTTAGGGTTGCGGGTTTAGGCTTGAGGGCTCGGGGTCTAGGGCCTTTTGGAATTTAGTGTTTTATGGGTTCAATTGGGGTTTACGTACGGCTGCCTTTGGGTTTTTAGAGTTGAGGGGGATATATGTAGTCAGGAGTTCGCGGCTTGGCGGGCAGGAAGTCTAGTACCTCCCAACGCGGCATGGATCAACACACGGGGTTTACGAAAATAGGTTGAGGGGGTTTAGGGTTTAGGGTACCCTAGTAGGATTCCCTCACAATAGGGACCCCAATAAGGTACCCCAGTTTCGGAAACCGCCACATCAGAACGTCGGAAATGGTCCTTTGCACCTCCCTCTTCCTTTCCAGGGTTTCGGGCACCCAAGAGATCCCGAGCCCCCCCAAATTCTCGCATAAACCCTACGCCCTACACCCTATACCCTACACCCTAAACCCTAAACCCCACCCTAATCCCTGGATCCTGAACCCGAAACCCTAGGCCTCCTCTTGCGGGTTCCTCGAAGGGAGGGAGGGGCTCAGGTACCTGACCTTTCAAGAGTTATGACAGGGTACCGAACTCCCTTATTCCCTACTAAGAACCGGTAAGTCGTTTTGGCCTCGTACCGTACGGATTTAGGACGCAGGGTTGTGGGCCGTGGTTTGAGGGTTTGGGGTTTAGCGCGTTGCGGTTCGGAACCTTTCCCGGCCTTTCTACTCTGGATAGGCCCGAACAGGTCCTGCAGAAGTTTCGTTTATGCCATAAGCAAGTTGCGGCCCAATACCCTAAACCCGAAACCCTAAAGACTAACCCTAAGCCCTAAACCCCAAGCCCTAAACCCTAAACCCCCCCCAACCATTATTGCTTTCTGCATGGCGGTGTCTGTCGCCTTCCAGCGGCCAAATCGATCAACTTGTACGTCGCCGGATTTGTTTGGCTTTGATGAACAACAAGCGCTTCACGGAGAACCCCATCTCCAGCCTTCGATTCACCTTCGAGTCCTGCGTCAGGGTCATGGCAGAATTCCGCCCCGAGACGTTGGTCCTGGAGAACGTGCCGGTCATGGAGAAGCTGAACAGTGTATCGAGGCATGTCTGGACATCTTCGGAACCAGACTCGGCCAGGACGCCCTCAACCAGATCCAGGGCGTGCAAAGTCTTGTCTCCCTAAACCCTAAACCCCTAAACCCCTAAACCCTACAACCCTAGAACCCTAAAACCTCAACCCTCAACCCTCAACCCTCAACCCTCAACCCTCAACCCTCAACCCTCAACCCTCAACCCGAAACCCGAACCCCACCCCCCCCCTGAGCCGCAAACCTCGAGGCCTGGGAGTGTCGCTGGCAGCGCCACGTAGCTGCGGTTTCGGGTTCAGGGTTCAGGGTTCATGTTTCAGGGTTTAGGGTTTCGGGTTCAGGGTTCAGCATCTCAAGTCCAAGAATTCACCAGTCAAGCACTTACTCCAGAAAAATGCCCACTCGCCCAAGGAATCCCATAACATTAAGAGAATATTTCACGTGAATGACCTTGCCCAGTAAAAAATGACCTTGCCCAGTAACTCCCCAACATGTAAATTATATATGAAAGAGAGGTTAGGGTTCAGGGTTTAGGGTTAGGCTGAAGGGTTTGCGGTTTCGGGTTCAGCGTTCAGGGTTTGAGGTTTGAGGTCTAGGGTTTAGGGTTTCGGCTTAAGGGTTTGGGGTTTGGGGTTTAGGGTTTGGGGTTTTGGGGACTCAGAGGGGCTCCAGATGTAGGCTGAAGGGCTTTAGGGGCTCAGGCGTTTAGGGCTTTGAGGCTTTTAGGCGGGGCTCGTGTTGTGGGAGTTTCGGCTTGAATGTTAAGAAGGGTTCCGAACGTTCCAAGCTCTAAGCCACAAACCCCAATTCCGAAACCCGAAACCCGAAAGCCTACACCATAGGGTGTAGGTTTACTCCATGTGTCCCTTCAGACCATGTTTGGTGCGATCCGGAACCGGCAGCGTAAAAAGCCCCGAAGCCAATCGTTGCCATGGCGCGCCCTGCACTGAACCGCGTGGGTTTGGCTGCCGGCACTGTGCTCCTTGCATCTCTTCTCGCGGGGTGCGGGGATCCGAAACCGACGCCCTCGGAGAAGACGTGCTACTTTGAAACGGATGTCGTTGCCATGGCCTTCACGAAGCCGTGCGATGGATCAACGCCAAAGCAGATTGACACGCCCGAAAGCGTGGTCATGGAGTACTACTTGGATGACACGGGCTTTGTCGAGTTCACCCTCAAAATCACGGAAAGCCAGGTAGTGGTCTCCGACATTTGGGGTACCTTATTGGGGCCCTCATTAGAAGGGAGTCCGCCATGTATAAGGGAATCCTACTATAAGGGGGGGGGGGGGATTTTAGAGTCCCCTTAATTATTTTGGGAAACCCCCAGGTCTTCAAGGCTGCCACAGCGTCGGCCTTTCAAAGCCACACAACGAAGCAAGCGGTCTTGGTCACCGCAGAGCTGCAACCAGTCAGCGCAGCTCGAAGCAAGCCGATTTGCGTGAAGATCGCCATGCAGAACAAGCATCCCACCGTAGTCTTCATCCAGGATGACTTCGCCTGCCCAGCCTGCCCCACGACCGAGAACATCTCTGCCTGGGAGCTGCTGATGCAAAGTTCCAGCACAGGGCTGCCATGCCCTAGCGGTGCCTCTTTCAAGGCGGCGGCCATGGGGAATACATCCCTGAGGGTGCAGAACGCGTTGCTGGCATGAAGCCGGGGGTACCCCCCCCCCCCCTTACTCAACTGATGAGCAATGGAGGCTTTAGGGTTTAGGGTTGAGGGGCAAATGGAGGGTGCTGACTGGGCAGTGCTGACATGCGCTTCGGGTGTGGGTGACGGACCAGGTGAAATTCATGGTTTTGACAGGAGTCCGGAACCAACAAGAAAGGTTCGGGGTTTTTGGTTTAGCTAGGCTCTAGTTCGGTAGCGGTGTTGCCAGTTCTGGTTGCTTTGTGGACCATGGCGGGACCTTTTCAACCCTAAACCCTAAACCCTAAACCCTAAACCCTAAACCCTAAACCCTAAACCCTAAACCCTAAACCCTAAACCCTAAACCCTAAACTGTTTCCAGCTGAGCATGCCGAGAGGGCAAGCGTCACTGGGATGCGCGGCAGCTGCCATGTCCAGTCCCGCAGAGGTCCCTCAGATACTCTTGGTAGCTGAATAAGTACACGTTACACTTTTTGGGATACTGTAACCCCCTATAGAACTGGAAGCGTCCTCTTCTGGCTGGTGAAGTCCTTGTGTGGCAACTTGTGCCATGCAATAAAGAGTTATGGCGGCTGGAGATCTTGATCGGCGAGCTTGTAGAAATGTGCGGGCTTTCGCACAATCAGCTCCATGTCTATCGCAATGTTTCGCGCGTAGGTTCAGGGTGAGTAGAATCCGGACGCTCATAAGCAGGTTCTTCCCGGATTGCTGTTCCTCTATGTGACTGTAGATTTCGCATGCCTGCATGAGATCCGATGCTGAACTCCTTAGCCCTAAACCCTACACCCTAAACTCTAAACCCTAAACCCTAAACCCTAAAATCAACCTTAGAGGTGTGGAGGTTTAGGGTTTTGAGGGGCTTCGGCGCGGCTTCGGGGTCAGAGCTTCGAGGGGGATTAGGATTTCGAGGTTTGGGAGTTGAGGGATTTTGGGGGTTGCCGTTGGGAATGGAGTGATTTATTTGGGGCTGGGGTTTCCCCTAATCATTAAACCACTGAACCCGAAGCCCCTAAGGTTTAGGGTTTAGGGTTCAGGGTTTAGGGGCACTCAACCCCAAGTTTCAGGTGGGGACTGAGCTGTCGCGCTTTGTTTCGCAGGGGTTTCGTCTGAGGGTCCCAGAAGCTATACGACCCAAAGTAGGCCCGTAGTCCCTTTTTTTAGGGTTTGGGTTCCCTAAAACGCCCCTTCAAACCAAAAAGGGCACCCTTCTTGTTCCTTACTCTTGGGTCTAGGAGTCTGGCCGAAGGAACGGAACCCCACACAACCTTCAAGGCCCTGAAGACTCTAAACCTGCCTCTGATCCCTGAAGGCGCAAACCCTAAACCCTAAACCCTAACCCCCAAGCCCAAAACCCAAAACCCTAAACCCTAAACCCTAAACCCCGCCCCCATCGAACTTTGCACGGAGGTTCTCGCTGGTCTTCTTCTCCATGGCCGCAAGCGCCGACCTGCCCGGAAAGCCGCCGGCCGAGGCCCCCCTAAACCCTAAACTCCTATGCCTACATCCTGCTAGTATTGTCTTTAAGATTCTAAGGGGAGTATAGATGCCCCAAACCCCTAAACAATAAACCCTAAACCCTGATCCTTAAATACTCAGCCCTACGCCCCTAAGCAATGAGCCTTCGGGGGCAGCCAAGCTGCCCCATGAGCTTGATCAGACCCCTAAAAGCCCTGAAAAACCCCCAGCGGACCTAAAAACCTCAAACCCTTAAAAGCCCCTAAACCCAAAGCCCTAATACCGAACCCCAGACCCCCAAACCCCCAAACCCCCAAACCCCCAAACCCCCAAGCCCCCAAGCCCCCAAACCCCCAAACCCCCAAACCCCCAAACCCCCAAACCCCCAAACCCCCAAACCCCCAAACCCCCAAGCCCCCAAGCCCCCAAGCCCCCAAGCCCGCAAGCCCCCAAACCCTAAACCCCAAACCCCAAACCCCAAACCCCCAAGCCCCCAAACCCCCAAACCCCCAAACCCCCAAACCCCCAAACCCCCAAACCCGAAACCCTGAAAGCCCCCAAACTAAACCCCAACCCCTAAACCCTAAAGCCTAAACCCGAAACCCCTGCACCCTAAACCCTTAAAGCCCTGCACCCTAAACCCCCAAACCCCTAAAGCCCTAACCCTGAACCCCAAGCCCTCAACCCTCAACCCCAAAACCCTCAACCCTCAACCCTCAACCCTCAACCCTCAACCCTCAACCCTCAACCCTCAACCCTCAACCCTCAACCCTCAACCCTCAACCCTCAACCCTCAACCCTCAACCCTCAACCCTCAACCCTCAACCCTCAACCCTCAACCCTCAACCCTCAACCCTCAACCCTCAACCCTCAACCCTCAACCCTCAACCCTCAACCCTCAACCCCTCAACCCTCAACCCTCAACCCTCAACCCTCAACCCTCAACCCTCAACCCTCAACCCTCAACCCTCAACCCTCAACCCTAGACCCTAAACCCTAAACCCTAAACCCTAAACCCTAAACCCTAAACCCTAAACCCTAAACCCTAAACCCTAAACCCTAAACCTCAAGCAACCTTAGAAACCCCTTTGGGAGGGGAAGCCGGACATGGACGTGGTGGTCGAAAGCCCCGGCTGGGGCCTCGGGGGTGTTCGGAGGGCTGATGGGTTTTAGGTTTAGGGTTTGGGGTTTAGGGTTTAGGGTTTAGGGCTTATGGTTCAGGGTTTCGGGGTTTAGGGTGCAGGGGTTTCGGGTTTAGGGTTTAGGGTTGAGTTTTTTTTTTTTTTTTTTTGGGGGGGGGGGGGGGGTTGGGGGTTTAGTTTTTTTGTTCATGGCTCTTGGGGTTTTGTGGTTGCAAGGCTTTTGGGTGTTTAGGGTTTTGGGGCTTCAGGGTTTGCAGGTTTTTCAGGGTGTTAGGGTCTAGGGCTTATGGGGGTACAGGGTAGGGTTTATGGGGTTTAGGGTTTATGGGGTTCAGGGCTTCACAGGGTTTAGGGCTTCATAGGGTTTTGGGGTTGCAGGGTCTAGGGTCCATGGGGTTGACGGTTCATAGGCGTATAGGCGTCTCGCATGCAGCGAAGAGACGTTGAACCTTACCCTAAACAGTCTGACCAGATTTGCTTCTACCGCAGTGCTGTAGTGTTTAGGGTCCAGATGGAGCTTGCCCCCAACCGACCCACAACCCCCACCCCCTTCAAAAAAGCAACCCAAAAACACAACAACCCAAGACCCTAAACCCTAAACACTAAACGGGAAAGGCCTGGGCTCGCGCAGCCCCACCGAATCCACAGCCGTGGCTCGAACTTGTTTGGGGTTTAGGGTTTAGGGGCTCAGGGCCTAGGGCCTAGGGCTTAGGATTTAGAGTTAAGGGCTTAGGCTAGGATGCCCAGTAGTACCCTTATTCCCTTTTTGGGGGGTTTAGGTTCCTTATAAACCCCTTTAAGCAAAAAAGGGCACCCTTTTTAAGCCTAGGTTACTGGGCAGCCTAGTAGGGCAACTATAACATTGCCACTTGCATTCCGGGAAACCCTGCAAACAGGCTGCGATTCCGAGGTGTCGTCATGGAGGGCGTGGGAGTGCCAAAACCCTAAGCCCTAAACTTACTGTTTTGGTTAGCAGGGACTGAGGGAATTAGGGCCCTGTACATATACATATATATATATATATATAAAGAGAGAGAGAGAGAGAGAGAGAGAGAGAGAGAGAGAGAGAGAGGAGAGAGAGAGATGTATATATGTATATATATATATATATATATATATGTATAAATGGCGGGAGATATTTGTATATGTGTGTACATGTGTATATATACATATATAGATATACACTTTTTGAGGGATGATATAGGGTTCCGTCATTCCCCCCTTCCCTACTAACCAGCTGGTAAGTAGACCCCAAACTCTTAGACCTTAAGCCCTACAAGCCTGAAGCCCGACGAAGCCCTCTGACCGGGTGCCCCCATACTGCTAACTCTAAACCCTAAACCCTAAACCCTAAACCCTAAACCCTAAACCCTAAACCCCAAACCCCAAACCCCAAACCCCAAACCCCAAACCCTAAATAACCTCCATCTACCCTGAGCCCCCGGAAGTCCTAACCATGACTCAGCTCAGAGCTGATGGGCGGCTGTGAGCTGATAAGGGATGGGATTCAAAGGTTCCTGGGGTGGTTTCCTGTGTTGAGGGTTTTCCGGGTTTGGGCCGTAGGGTTTGAAAAGGCCTGGGGGGTTGAGCGGTTTTGCGGGCTTGGGGGTGTAGGGTTCAAGGGGTTTGGGGGCTTAGGTGTCCGTGTTCCCAACAGCCACAAGGTTTAGGGTTTAGGGTTTAGGGTTTAGGGTCTAGGGTTTAGGGTTTAGGGTTTAGGGGTATCCCCCCATAGGGTTACCTCATTTCCCCATTCCCTACTACGAACCAGCGGGATGATCTGGCCTTGGGAGAGAGGGTCGCGTGCTTACTCCCCCTCACGCGAACTTTTCCTTCCTGGTCCTTCATTTTTTCTTGAAGATGCCTGTTAGACCCTAAAACCTATGCCCTACACTTATGAGCCCATCAGCGAGTGCACATATCCTTGCAAACCCTGACAGGCCCAACTTTCGAAACTCTTAACAGCCCATATAAGCCCTTATACACCCTTTATCAACACGTAGAACCCCCGAAGAAGCCCCAACAAAAGGTTATAAACTCGATAGCAAACCCTTTATAATCACTCTTAATATAACACCCTTCTAAACCCTTTCTAAACCCTTTGTAAACCCTTCAGCAGCCCGTGTAAGCCCCTTCATCAGCACTTCCAAGCCTCAAGGACAGCTCTGCCGCAAGTCCGGACCTAGAAGCCAACAACGATGGGGAGAGCCTGGGCGGCGGTGAGAAGTTTCAGGGCTCAGGAAAGCAACTTTTGTTGCTTCTTGGCATATCTATACATTTACACACATATCTTAAAATACATATATAAATATGTAAATATAAATAAATACGTAAATAAATAATATATGTATATATGTATGTATGTATGTATGTATGCATGCATGCATGTATGTATGTATGTATGTATGTATGTATGTATGTATGTATGTATGTATGTATGTATGTATCTTAACTCAAGTTCTCACAAACTGGTCGATGAATCAAAGAATAGAAATGATGTGCAGAAACAGACCTCCCTCCCATGGTAACTTAATTTCAAGTACCCGAAAGCCCCTGAACCCTAAAACCCTGAACCCTCAACTCAACCCGAAACCCTAAACCCAAAACCAAAAACCCTAAACCCTAAACCCTAAACCTTGAAAAAACCCTTGGAATGCAACCCAGGAGCCCCCAATGCCTGGATGCCGATGGCTTGAAGGCCAAGGCGGGCGAAGGCGTGGCGCCGGAGGAGCTTGCGGCTTGCAGGGTTCAGGGTTCAGGGTTTAGGGTTTAGGGTTTAGGGTTTAGGGTTTAGGATTTAGGGTTGAGGATTCAGGGTTTTAGGGCTTAGGCGGCTTAGGGCTGAGGGTTTAGGGTGTTTGGCTCGAAGTTTAGAGCTTAGGTTCCGGGTTTAGGGCCCGGAGTGGAACCTTTACTGCCTTGGCACAGGGTTTAGGGTTTAGGGCTTAGGGTTTAGGGTTTAGGGTTTAGGGTTTAGGGTTTGGTGGGGGTGGGGGTGGGGAGGGGCTGGGGGAACCAAACAACTGCATGTAGATAGTGAGTCCTAGGTAGTGTTCAACAGGCGAGGTTGAGGGGCTTTGGGTGTTACGGTGCTGGGATGGAGGGTGCAGGCCCGAGGTCTGTGCGGTTTAGGGTTCCAGGGTTTTAGGATTCTGGGGTATCAGGGTTGAGGGCTCCCGAGGGCCCAAAAGGTGCCCTTCGCAGGAGCAAGGCGGCCGGTCACAGGCGCGCGCGATGCCTCTGGGACTCTTCCTGGCGCCTCGGTCCAATGGTCTGGAAAACCCGAAAGCCCGGGACATTCCCAGGGCAGTGAGACCCCGGAAAGCCCCAAAGGCCCTGGACGTTTAGGGCTTAGGCCCAAGCAACCCTAAGCTTAAGACCCTACCCTCAACCCTAAACCCCAGTCCCCCCTCCCCGATGCCGTAGCTCTAAACCCTAATCCTAAACCCTAAACCCTAAACCCTAAACACTAAACCCTAAACCCAGCTAAGGCCATGGTGGCGGGCATCTTCTTCGGAACCACCTTCGACCTGCCGACGGAGCGCACCCCTCAACTCCCAAAACCCTAAAGTGGGCCCCTTAAGCCCCAAACAGCCCCTAAAGCCCCTAAAGCCCCTAAAGCCCCTAAAGCCCCTAAAGCCCCTAAAGCCCCTAAAGCCCCTAAACCCTAAGCCCTAAGCCCTAAGCCCTAAACCCTAAACCCTAAATCCTAAGCCCCAAACCCGAGCCTTTAATTCCAGAAGTTTGCAAAATTAGAGGGTCCGCGCCTGAGTAACCGAAACGCTCTGAAAACTGATAACTGGCCTGGCCCATTGGGCATACATGATCTGGGGCTGGGGCCCTGGCCTTTTGGTTTTCTGCTTGGCCCAGGCTGCGAGGGAGGAACCCTAACCCCAAACCCTCAACCCCTCAACCCCAAACCCTAAGCCCCAAACTCTATAAACCCTATACCCTCAACCCCAAACCCCAAACCCCAAACCCTAACCCCAAACCCCAAACCCCAAGCCCCAAGCCCCAAACCCCAAACCCCAAACCCCAAACCCCAAACCCCAAACCCCAAACCCCAAACCCTAAACCCTAAACCCTAAACCCTAGACCCTAGACCCTAGACCCTAAACCCTAAACCCTAAACCCTAAACCGGCAGCGGAAGGATCTTTCCGAAGGCAACTTCGGACCCGGCCACAGCAGCCGCGCCCCTTGGGCCCACGGCGCTGAGACGTTAGGGGCGCAGGGCTTGGGGAGTTGTTTAGGGTCTAGGGTTTGGGGTTTAGGGTTTAGCGTTGAGGGTTTAGGGTTAGGGCTTAGGGTTGAGGGTTGAGGGTTGAGGGTTGAGGGCGTTAGGGTTGAGGGTGCCCGAAGCCCTAAACCTACAACCCTATGAAGGCGCCGAAAGTAGGTAGGTGTTTTGGGGTTTCGCGCCCCTCGGCATCCGGGTTGGGCGGTCGGGCTCAGAGAGCTTAGGGTCTTGAGGGTTTTTGGGGGCTTTATACGGGTGTAGGGCTGAGTTTCGGGTTTTCGGAGTTTGGGGTCTTTTTTGGATTTTTGGGGCTTGAAGGGTCTAGGGATTCTTTTAGGTTTTGGGAGTTTAGGTCTTGCCTTATTTGGTTCTTCAGGGGTTTCCGGGTGGGGGGGGGGGTGGGGGTGTGTCCGGATTTGGGGGTTCGGGTCGAGGGCTGAAACGCGGGGTCAGGTTTAACATGTTCTAGGAGATCCCAAAATAGGCGACCGCTTCACGAATCCCAACATGCACGGCCCTTGTTTGTGGAACCCCTGGGAACGGGTACCTGCGTTGTCGGAAGACCCCGCATCGACCCGCAAAACCCGAAGCCCGAAACCCTACACCCTTAACCCTAAACCCCAAACCCTAAACCTAAACCCTAAACCCCTAGGGTGTAATTTTTTTAACTCACCAGTCCATTGGGTCCATGGGCCAAGGTAGATGGAGGAAATCACCCCAGTGCCAAGCCCTGAAGTGTTGCAGTCACAGAAGTTTTTCGGGTTGAAGGGTCTGGGTTTAGGGTCTAGGTTTTAAGGGTTTAAGGGTTCAAGGGTTTAAGGGTTTAAGGGCTTAATTAAGGGCTTCAGAGCTTAATTAAGGGCTTAAGGGTTTAAGGGCTCAAGGGTCACCCTAAACCCTAAACCCTAAACCCTAAACCCTGAACCCTAAACCCTAAACCCTAAACCCTAAGCCCTAAACCCTAAACCCTAAACCCTAAACCCTAAACCCGAAACCCTAAACCCGAAACCCGAAACCTTAAACCCTAAACCCTAAACCCTAAACCCTAAACCCTAAACCCTAAACCCTAAACCCTAAACCCTAAACCCTACAAGCCCAGGTCTTGGACTATGTCTGGAGCCACTTCCTTGGCATCTTCGCCACGGCCATCCTCGCTCTCGCAGCCTATGTGGCGGTGATGCGCAGGAGCTTCGTTTGGTGTTTAGGGTTTAGGGTTTAGGGTTGTGGGTTTAGGGTTTAGGGTTTGGGGTTTAGGGTTTCGGGTTTCGGGTTTCGGGTTTGGGGTTTCGGGTTTCGGGTTTGGGGTTTAGGGGTTTGGGGTTTAGGGTTTAGGGGTTTGGGGTTTAGGGCTTAGGGTGGTTTAGGGTTTAGGGTTTAGGGTTTAGGATAGTGAGGGCCATCTAACACTTTGACCCCACCCCATGCCGGCGAAACCACCCAAACCCATTCCTTTAGTGTTTAGGGCTGAACTGTGTCAGAAAGTTGTATAGGGCTAAACCCTAAACCCTAAACCCTAAACCCTAAGCCCCTAAGCCCCTAAGCCCCGAAGCCTGATGTCCTCGCTTGAACCCAAAAGAGCGTGTCATCGGAAGGAAGAGCTATATGCCCAAGGCGCTCATCCTCCCGGCCGTGGCGTCCGCGGCCCAGTAGCCCTAAACCCTAAACCCTAAACCCTGAACCCTGAACTCTGAACCCTGAACCCTGAACCCTGAACCCTGAACCGTGAACCCTGAACCCTGAACCCTAAACCCTAAACCCTAAACCCTAAACCCAGGGTTTGGGGTTTCAGGGGTTTCAGGGGTTTCAGGGTTTCAGGGTTTTAGGGCTGAGGTTGGATTGGGGTTTGGTTGGTGGTTTAGGTCGGGTTTCCTTTTGAAAATGGGGCTTTTCGTAGAGTGAGTAGGCTTGGAGTGCTTTCACAGCTTTTCGTTTAGGGTTCTATCCTGTAACCTAAACCCCCAAGCCACACGACGTACGACATACCAACCCCGGAAGCCTCAACCCTCAACCCTGAACCCACAACCCCAAAACCCTGAAACCCGTGAACCCCTACGCGCTAAGCCACCCTCGTGCTCCTCTATTTCCTCCATTTCTCAGGTCCGGGGTCCTCTGGGCAATTGCGCAGGTGGCCTGGTTCCAGGCGCGGGCGTGGATTGAGACTTGTGTTTCGAGGTTTGGGAGTTCCCCCTAAACCCTAAACCCCAAACCCTAACCCCAAACCCTAAATTTTAGGAGCCTCCGGCTCAGGCCGCCGACCCAAGAGGCCCGAAACCTCTCAACCCTCAAACCAGGTTGGGGGTTTGAGGCCGTGTTGTGGGAATGGGGGGGTCGAGGCGTCGAACTGTTGGAGTGGTTGGCGTAAGGTTGCAACATAGGCAACCCCCCCGTGAAACCTCAACCCTAGTCCCTAAATCCCAAACCCCTGACCCTAAACCCCACACCCTATACCCAGAACCCTAATCCCTCAAGAACCCTCACTCCAGGTTTTGAGCCTCTGTGGGTCTAATGCTCTTGTCTTTAGGGTAGCTTTAGGGCTTTGCGACCTTTGGGGCAGGTTTGGTTGGGCTGTAGGGTATAGGTTTGGGGTTTAGGGTCTAGGAAACAAAGTTGCTGGGACGCGTGTGGGAGGTGCCGGGTTGAATTGTAGTTTCCTGCTGTGGCCAGCGAAATCAGGCACGATGTGCTGTGGCTAACCGAAAGCCCCAAACCCTGAACCCAAAACCAGGGAGTGCGTTGGGGGGGGGGGATATGGGGGGTGGGGGGGTTGGGGGGGGGGGGGGGGGGGCGGGGGCCCCCCCTCCCCCCCCCCCCGCGTTTTAAGGTTTTTGGGGGTGTAAGGGAGGGGAGGGGGAGGGTTCCCTCCCCCAAAACCATCCAACACGCCGCCAGGGTCGGCGGACCCCAAACCCGAAACCCTAAACCCTAAACCCTAAACCCTAAACCCCAAACCCCAAACCCCAAACCCTAACCCCTAAACCCTAAACCCTAAACCCTAAACCCTAAACCCTAAATAAACCGTGGCTCTGTTTGGGCTTTGGGCTAGGGCAAGCTTAGGGGTAAACGAATCCTTCGACCCGACTTCCTCGAAAGTTTAGGGTTTAGGGTGCCGGGCCGGGGGATGTTCGGAAAAACGGAAGCCTCAAGCCTTCAAGCCGACTGGGCAATCGGGCTTCGTGGTGTTGGATTTTGTTTTGTTGGGTTTTTGGCATTGCATTTGCAGAATCTCCAAAAGTGCATTCTTTGGATAAAACAAGCTTTTCCTATGCACATTCATCACACGTTCTTCGCTACATTGCATGTTCGTACTTTTTTTCTGTGTTTTTGAAGGTGATGACGTGCAAATCGTGCAAACCATACGTTCTGTACTATTCGCACGGTTTTCACATAGAATCAGACAATCCGAAAAAGGACTTTGCCGTGCGTGCTCAGCATGTCTTTTTTGTCGGTGTGTACGAGGGTTTTCAGAGGAAAGAAGAAGACCATATATATATATATATATATATATATATATAATGTATATATATATATATATATGTATATGTATACATACACATACGTATACTGCTGCGTAGGTTTTCGTGGTATGTGCATTGATCTGTACTTCGGCGGTGGTGCTCCTGCAAATGTGTCCAGGCCAATGCGAGCTTGGGCTACGCCATCGCTTTTCCAATCATCGCCAGCTTGCCGGGCATTCTGGGTCTGTTTATCGGGACCCTGTGCGTGATTCCCAAACCCATGAGTCCTAAGCCGGGGGAGGGAGAGGGAAAGGGAGAAGAGAGGAGCAAGTGAGGGGAGGAGCGAGAGAAGTGAAAGAGAAGTTCTGGACCAGCCCCAACCCCAAACCCAGAAGCAGACCCGAAACCCTAAGCCCGGCGGCCTCCCTGGTCTTTCTGGGAGCCTACGAACCCAGCAGCCCTGAAATCCCTAAACCCTACGCACCTTAAACCCAAAACCCTAAGCCCTAAATCCTAAACCCGAAATCCGAAACCCTAAACCCTAAATCCTAAACCCTAAATCCTAAACCCTAAATCCTGTGCCTCCCTGTGCTCTGGCAACAGCCTGTCCCCCTTTCCCTCCAACTCCAAGTCAGAGGACATGAGGTAGCCCTATAACCCCCTAGATATACCCTTTAAGGGATTGTATAGGGGGATACAGGGGGATACACCCTAACCCTAAACCCTAAACCCTAAACCCTAAACCCTAAACCCTAAACCCTAAACCCTAAACCCTAAACCCTAAACCCTAAACCCTAAACCCTAAACCCTAAACCCTAAACCCTAATCCCTTCAACGGTCATTCCCTACAAACCAACAGTAAGAAAGAGGACCTGCTTCTTTGGAGAGATGAAGTCGTCAAGGCCATATGGGGGTTGCCTAAAAGGGTTTCGGGTTTAGGGTTTGGGGTTTGGGGTTTAGGGTTTAGGTTTTGGGGTTTAGGGTTTGGGGTTTGGGGTTTAGGGTTTCTTCCGAGATTAGGGGTAGCTGATTGGGATCCTGATTTTAAGGGGGTCCTGCTATTTGGAGGATCTATCTTGGGCATCCCCTATTTTCGTAAACCCCCCGATGCGCTAATGGCTGTTGGGATTTCTTGTTTTCTTGCTTTTGCGTGTGGGCGTTTGGGGAATTTTGTGGTGTTTTGTGTTCCTTTCGTTTGGGTAGGGTTGAGGGTTCAGGGTTCAGGGTTTAGGGTTCAGGGTTCAGGGTTCAGGGTGCAGGGTTTAGCGTTCAGGGTTTAGGGTCTAGGGTACCCTCAACGGAGGCGCACATGCACGCTGGGTGGGTCTGCGGTGTTGGGGTTTGGGGTTTGGAGTGGATGATGATGATGATGATGATGAGGAGGAGGAGGAGGAGGAGGAGGAGGAGGAGGAGGAGGAGGAGGAGGAGGAGGAGGAGGAGGAGGAGGAGGAGGAGGAGGAGGAGGAGGAGCAAATCCGACCCAGAAAGACGCAAAGTTCTGAACCCGAAGCCCTTACGCCGCCTTCCGCCCCCCGCCCCCCCCCCCACCCCCCTTCCCGCACAGAAGAGGCAAAACACAAGTTCCGATAGCTAACCCCAGACCCCAATCAGCTCAACAGAAACCCTCGCCCCAGACGTCAACCCTAGCGAAGCCCTAAATCCTAACCCTCAACCCCCCAAACCCCAAACCCGAAACCCGAAACCCTAAACCCCAAACCCTAAACCCCAAAGCCCTCAACCCTAAACCCCAAAGCCCAAAACCCTTTAACCCTCCTGACTCGAGGAGCCGGCTGTTGGCACTACTGGGCCTACTCCTTCGGTGCCCAGGCGTGGCATTGCGCCCCGCCGAAGAGGGGTTTAGGGGGCTAAGGTTTCAGGGTTTCGGGTTTAGGGTTTGGGTTTAGTTTAGGGTTTAGGGTTAGGGGCTTAGGGCTTAGGGTTTAGGACTTAAGGGTCGTCCAGTCGGCTTTCTCACGTAGCCCGCAGGCTCGGAGTTCCCCCTGACTGGGACAGGGCTGACGAGGTCAGGGCTTTCAATTGCGGGCCCAGGCCCCAAAGTTTGGGGTTTAGGGAAGCCGCTCTGTCCCTAAACCCTAAACCCTAAACCACCCTCAACCCTCAACCCTCAACCCTCAACCCTCAACCCTCAACCCTCAACCCTCAAACCCTCAAACCCTCAAACCCTCAAACCCTCAAACCCTCAAACCCTCAAACCCTCAAACCCTCAAACCCTCAAACCCTCAACCCTCAACCCTCAACCCTCAACCCTCAACCCTCAACCCTATGAACTTTAGGCTTTCAACCGCCAAAATTGACTTGCCATCCCAGGATCGCTGTGTCTGTTTGACACATTTGCCGAGGAGCCTCGGGGACGGGGGGGGGGGTTAGGGTTTAGGGTTTAGGGTTTGCTGTAATAGGGCGTAGATGCTGTGAAGGTTAGGATGCAGCAGCGGCTCGAATGCTTCGGCAGGTGCGAAGAGCAGCTCTGGCCCGATTGTGGAGGGCCATCTAATACTTTTCTCCCACCCCACGCCGTCCGAGGCGGCAAAACCACCCAAACCTATTCCTTTTAGGGTTTAGGCCTAAACTCATGACAATCGCTTACTTTGAAAAAAAAACCTTTCCGTCACTGATGGCCACTTTCTGCCAAGGGAAAGTTTCAGGCCAGGTTCAGCTGCACTGAAATAGAGATGTTTTGAGGGTTTGAGGCAGGGCCAGGGAGGGGGCCAGGCAGGTAGGGGGGGTCAGGGGGCGGAGGCTAGGGGGGTGGGCAGGAGGGCCCCGCCAGGGGCGGGGGTACCCCCCGGCCAGCGACCTCCAGGGCGAAGTATTTATCAGTAGTGGTTTGCGCCCATCGTGGGTGCTACCGACCTCCAGGCTGCAGGAGGCGACCTGGTTTCGCCGTAGAGGTCGAAGGGCTTAAGCGGTAGCACCCACGATGGGCCCGGTACCGGAACAGGTTCTCCCGGGGACCAGTACCGGTCCCCTTAATAAGGTAAATACCCTAAATTTCAAGATCTTCGCCCTGGAGGTCGCTGGCCGTTTCGGGGGGGGCGAGTGAGCACACTTTACACTTTTTGGGATACTATAATCCCCTATAGAGCTGAAAGTGTACACTTTTCTGGGGCTTATGAACTCAACAACTAAGAAGTTGCCCTTTTAAGGAGGAACAATTTTTTTGGGGGGCGGTTCTTAAGCAAATAGTAGTTTACCCTACGTAAACCCAGGGGGTCAGCGTGATGGGGCCCTAAACCTTAAACCCCAATCAACTTATTTCCGGGATCCTTCCACCAAGGACTTAAGGATCCAACCTTTCCAAAAACCCTGAACCCCTCCAAACTCGAGCAACTTTTCCATGTATGGGACTGCGCAAACATATTGGGGTTTAGGGTTTAGGGTTTGAGGATGTGCGGGTTTGGGCTTTCAGGGTTTGGGGGTTTTGGAGGGTTTGAGGGGGTTTGAGAGCTTTGAGTTTAAAGCTTGGGGCTGTGCGGTTGAGGGCCTTGGGCTTGTTGACGTCCGTGTGGCCCATTCCCAGGATCGTGCTCTCCGCCTCTAGCACTTGGCAGCGGAGACCAAGATCACATCCCGTTCCGTGGGCAAGCGCCGGCAGACGGCCCCTCGCCTCCTCGACCTCGCGGCCATGGAAAATTCACCCTGAACATCCCTAAGCTGTGTTTAGGGCTTAGGGCTTAGGGTTTAGGGTTAAGGGTTGAGGGTTTAGGCCTAGTTGCACATCCCTAAGCCGGGCTTAGGGTTTGAGGTGCGAGGGGCTACCTCCGGCTGCATTCGCCCGCACGTTCATGCGGGGATCTCGTCTCTGGAGTGTAGTTGGCGATCAAGATACTGCAAACTCGATCTTTCCATTGGGCTGAACCCTCCCAGACCCCCGTCAACCCAGCCCCTGAGCAACCTCTTCTTGACCGAGACGAACCCACGCAGATAGCTCGCGAAAACGCTCGACCCGGCGCACATAGCCGTATGAGGTGCTCTTTCAACCATGCGGAGGGAGCCCTAAAGAGCTCTAAACCTCGACATCTGAGAGGTCCAGACATTCTAAGTTCCCAAGACGTGCCCCCCCGGCCCTGGATTTCCTAGAGCCTCAACGCCTGAGCCCTAAAGCCTCATCGCCCTAAGCCCTAAGCCCTAAACCGTAAACCGTAAACCGTAAACCCTAAACTCAAGCTTCGGGGAACCAAGCCCGAAACCCTGCTGAGCTTCCAAGTCCTGCATCCTAGAGCCTTGCGGCTGCATCCCAAGCCTTGCCTTGAGGGTTTAGGGTTTAGGGTTTAGGGTTTAGGGTTTAGGGTTTAGGGTTTAGGGTATAGGGTGTAGGGTGTAGGGTGTAGGGTGTAGGGTGTAGGGTGTAGGGTGTAGGGTATAGGGTTTGGTTTAGGTTCTGATTTTGGGGCTTAGGGCCCTTTGTGGAGTGCAAGCTCTGGGGTTGTAGGGTTTTCGGCTTTTGTGTTTCAGGGCGTAGGGGTTTTAGGGTGAGTACGTTCCTAAACCCTACAACCTTGAGCGATGAACCCTGCGCCCTCAACCCTAAACCCCTCAGGAGGCTTTACTTCTTTTTGCTTAATAGCCCCCACCCCCCCCCCCCCAACCCGCCACCCGCTCTCCCCACCCCCTCCCCCGGCCCCAAACCAAACGAAAAACAGAAAAGCAGAATCATCCCTGAATGGCTCTTATAAGGAGGAACACTGTCTATTGAAAACCCTAAACCCTAAACCCTAAGCCCTAAGCCCTAAGCCCTAAACCCGAAACCCGAAACCCTAAACCCCAAAAGCCCCAAACCCATATGCAAAATGGTAGTGTAGGGGGCCGCTGTGGCCCAGAAGAAGGAGCGCTCCGCTCCTCCCGCTGCCAGGATCTGCCAGCGCAGTTGGCTCAGCGCAGAACCCCACGAGTTGCTTACTTCTTCCGTATACGGGCAATATTGGGATTCTTAAAGTTGTATATATATATATATATGTATTTGTTTTTTATGTATATGTTTTTTTTGAAAGAGTTTCTTTATTTATCAATTATTATTATTATTGTCATTATTGTTATTCTATTGTTCTGTTCTTTTCTTTGGGGTGGGCCGTTTAAGCAAATAGTAGTCTACGGGCCGACCAAACGTTGTTCTTCCTTATAAGGGCAATATTGGGATTACGGTCTTTTATCTTTGGGAAGTTCTTAAACAAATAGTAGAAGCAAGGGAGTCACCGCCAATTTTGTGGGTGAAGGGTGCGGGGCTTAGGATGTTTGGGAAACCCTCAAACCTTCCGTCCAAGACCAAAACCCTAACGGCTCACGCCCTAAACTCTCCCGGGGGGCTTCAAGATCTGCTTCGCGCATCTGAGCATCTGTGAGTTAGGTAGCCCATGCAACCTCTTCAAGGCTTGTGGTGGTGGGGTGGGGAGGGGGCTACCGACTTCCCTAATTACGTCCCCACCACCCGAAACAACCTTACGCAGAGACCCGAAGCCAGAGATGTGGGAAGAACCCTAAGCCTTAAACCCTTAACCCCAAATTAATTCAATCTTCAACCCTAAACCCAAAACTTGTAGTGGCAGTCTGCGCTTTTAGGCCACCTCCGGTTCGGGATGAGTTGGTTTTTCTTGGGTGTTTCGAGGTTTAGGGTTTCAGGTCTAGCTTTTGTCTTTCTCTGGTTCTTCGGGTTTTGCTTGCTCATGCTCGAATATGCTCGAGTATGGAGGTTTCGGGTGAAGGGGCTATGTTGATGGTAACAGTTTAGCAGAAGAGGGGGGCGAGCAGCGTCCCGCCATGCTATACAGGGTCCTAAACCCTGAGCCCTAAACCCTAAACCGCCCTGTCTGAGGCTCCGTAGATCCTTCAGGCAGCTTTCACATAAACCCCTAAACTCTAAACCCTAAACCTAAACCCTGGAACTGGGTTACAAGTAGGTTGCAAGATGCCCCATCGAGTGCTCGTTCGTTTTTTAGGGTTTAGGGTTCAGGGCTTAGGATCCGATCCAAGAGGGGCACTCTTTCTTATCTCGGTATTTTGGAATGTTCCCCCTTGTACTAATAGTCCTCAAGAGGGATTATAATGGGGGGGGGGGGGCACTATAATCCCTTTTCAGAATCACGTGGAACATCCCAAGCACTCTTTTCTTTGCCATAGTTGGGGAACATTTTGCATTTTTTAAGGGTACTTAAACCCAATTTTAAACTTTTAATGCTATCCCAACCATGAACTAGTTTTTTTTATCTAGGTAATCGCTTGGGATATATTTTGGCTTCCCCTTTTTTGGGTTTGCGAGGATCATATTCAGGAATGTGCTCTTCAGAGGGGGTTTAAGGGCCAAGCTCGTTATTCTTCGGAAAAGGATCCTACTTCCAAAACAATTTCAGGACTAATATTCTTAGTATTAGCATTGTTGCCAGATATATATATATATATATATACACCCTAAACCCTAAAACCTAAACCCTAAACCCTCAATATCTACTTACACAGCTAGGCTGCTTGCGCAAGAGCCGTCTGGGCGGCGCCTTTTCGGAGATTTTTTTTGTTCTTTCCAGGGCTTGCTGCCCGTCGCAACTCCGGCTTCAGAGGCTTTGTGTGTAAGCCCTAAACCCCAAACCCCAAACCCTAAACCCTAAACCCCAAACCCCAAACCCTAAACCCTAAACCCTAAACCCCTGCCCTAATGTTTAGGGCCAAGCAGGTCAGACCTTACACCTTAAGGACTGTTAGTATAAGGGGGAGCATCCCAAGCTTTTGGGGGTCTGGGGCCTCCTAGCCAGAGTGTCCTTGGTTTCGGGTTTAGGGTTTATGGAGGTTGCATATGCAGGGATGTGCGGAAGCGCGTTCGGCAGCAGAACTACGATGGTTCCCTGTACAGTCTGTACAGCCACTCGTACGAAGTGGTGGCCGTTGGATTGGAGACGCTTTTTGGTCCAACCTGTCTTCCAAGCGTTGAGGAGCCAAGGTGACCAATGACTGTGAAAGCCGCAACGTATGGACTTTTAGTAGGGGGTTAGGCGCCTATGTATACCTTCAAGCAATTCCACTATATCTTGCTTGGTAGCCCAGTGGTACCCCTTACCCCCTTGTTTTTTTTTTGGTTCTGGGCCCCCTTGAAACGTAACCCGAGTACAAGGTGGTTACTGGGCTACGATGACATGTAAGGTACCCTGAACCCTAAACCCAAAACCCCAAACCCTAAACCCTTAAACCCTCAACCCTTAACCCTTAAACCCTTAAACCCTAAACACTAAACACTTCCACAAGAAAGTCCCGAAGCTTTCGAACTCCGACCTGGTTGACCTGTTCCCTTCCTGGCTTTGGTGATTAGGGCAGACTTCGCTGCCCCGGCCTGCTTTTAGCATTTAG